TTCACATTGTGATCGGGGACCAGATCATCATACTCATACTATTTCAAATGTAGATTGTTCCAAACCGATCGATTCAGTCGCAGTGGACGTTATTAAGGCATTCACAACTGCAACCCGAAAAATGACATATTATGCTTTCAAGTCGTTGTCAGAAAATTATCCAATATCGGAATGAATCATCAAAATTGTCTTTTCGAAACAATCTTGGAAAATAACTTCCTTCCTTCAGTGGAAACGTAGAAGACTGACCTATTTTCATTACCCTCTACAGAAGATCTACCAAAACATGTTGCTTTAGTAATGAGTAAAACATGATACGTCTTCAATAAGCATTGAAATCTGAAGCTTTGGATTCAGTGAAATCACTATTTGTTCCTCCAGATAATTTGGAAAATATTATTCATACACTCTAGACCAGATTTGGACGTCCTGAGTTCATAATAGATTCTATGATGAATAAAGTAACACTGATACCCCCACTTACTACAAAATAAATATGCATTACCATTCATCAAATTCGCAAATTCTGTTCAGAATCTCACAGTTACTGATCAGTCATTGAGAATTGGCGGGGGAGGAACAATTGTTGATATTTCAGATGTGCATCGTCCATGAAAATATCTATAAAATAGAGCCAGACCGCCAACTTTTCTTCGGTGTTCTAGAGTAGTGAGTGAGTTTGTGAGCGAGGCATCACCCAGGAGACTAATTGCCCCTTTTTGGACAGAATTCAACAGTTTCAGGGTATGTTTGGGTGCCGCACTCCAAATATGGAAACAGTATTCCAGTACAGGTCGGATCTGTGCCTTATAGATCATGAGCAGCTGACTGGAAGTGAAATAGCTCCTGGCTCGAAACAGAAAACCAAGTTTTTGGGATGCACTTTTAGCAATTGATCTCACGTGATTTTCCCAAGAAAGGTCATTGCTGATAGTAATCGAGCATCGAAATGGATGTCTTCAAAGGTATGGTTTGTGTTTTGTTTGCATTGAAATCTACCAAGTTATTGGATCCCCACTAGAGAATTGTTGCCAAGTCCATTTTTATGCTGTCAACATTTCTTCCTCGTTCGTTTCTGATTTGCCTGGCTGGTATTGGAGCCCTGGAAGAGACGGCGGTATGGAGGGTACTATCATCCGCGGAGCTGTGTACTGGACATGAAGTTGCTTCCAACAAATCGTTGATATTGAGCAGAAATAGTGTTGGTGCTAGAATTGATCCTTGTGGAATACCAACATTTATGGTAAGAGAGTCAGATGAAATTTCGTCGACCACTACATGGAGAGACCTGTTTAAGAGAAAACTAGCTAGCAGAGAACATAGCGAGGGAGGCAAGCCATAAGATGGAAGCTCGACGAGGAGTCCGTGGTGCCAGACTCGATCGAATGCTTTGGAGATATCAAGTGCCACGGCTAAGGTTTCACCATATTTTTCAATAGATTGCTGCCATATATGTGAGACGTAAGGCGAGCAGGTCACCAGTTGATCTGTGATGACGGAAGCCATATTGCCTATCGTTGAGGATATCTGAAGTTTCCAGGTATTTCATGAGCTCGATGTTGATAGTTTCCTCCATGATCTTTGAAATAATAGATAGCAGTGCGATCGGTCTGTAGTTGCTAGGAAGGGTCTTTTTGCCTTTTTTTATCAACTGGTTGTACTCTTGCAATTTTCCAGTTGGACGGGAATATGCCCAATTTGTAAGAGTAGTTGGAAAATGTTTCTCCGTAACATTTACTAAAAAAAAAAATTATATAGTGGACTACATACAAATTGAATGACACAGCCTTACAAAAAAAAACTGGAACTATGGATTTGGGTGTTTATTTGGATAATGAACTGAACTTCAATACACATATAGATAATATCTCTAAACGGGCGTACAAACTACTTGGATTTATAATACGAAATTCTTGCAAATTCAATGACTTAAGAACATTGTGTTTCTTGTATAATGCTTATGTAAGAAGCATATTGGAATATGCTTCTGCAGTATGGTCTCCTTTTTACGAGCGTCATAAAAACGAATTGGAGAAGGTCCAAAAGAAATTTTTGAGGTACCTATATTATAAAAAACACAAAGTGTATTATTTTGATATACCATATAAAACTTTATTGAATGAGTTTAAATTAATTAAATTAGAACATAGAAGAGAAATAGCATCTGTACCATTCTTGCAGAAATTAGTTAATGGACAAGCGATTTGCCCGGTAATTTCAAGAAAGTTAGTTCGTCCTCAAGCACACTATGTTAATAGAGATATCCCCATATTTTTTCTGCCAAGACCGAAAACGAATCTTGGTTTGAATGCTCCTGTATATAGGATATGTAAACTGGTAAATGAATTAAAGTTGGACATCTTTCGAAAAACGTTCAATGTTGTTAAGCAAAGAATATTTTCTTATTATAGTATAAGTCAATCAAATTAATAATCTACTGCATATCATCATACAACTTAAAACATTATAGGTCTGTATTGTAGCATTATGTATTTGGGTTAGGTAAAATTCGTTTCACATTTTCACAACTGAATTGATATATACTTTTCTTATTTACCACAATAGATAACGTTTTTCTGCTCACTGAAATCTGGTTAGTCTTAAGGAAATAATTGTAATCGATTATTGGATTTATTTATGTAAGATTACATACAAATAAAATAAAATATAATAGTTGAACAACTTGCAGAGAACAGGTGCTAGTTCGGGAGCACATTTCTTGTGAACAATCGGTGGAATTACGTCGGAGCCACACGCTTTGTTGGTGTTGAGATCCAATAAAATTTTCCTTATAGTACGTTGGCGAAAGGTGATCTCGGGCATATGACTGTCAATTGTTATGTTTGGAGGTTGTTTTCCCGATGAATCCAAAGTGGAATTTCCAGCAAATGAATGCGCGAAAATGTTGGCTCTCTCCTGGGCAGTTGTGGCTAGTCTTCCTTGGTTAGAGGAGGAAACGAGCTGGAAGTGAAGTTTCTTCCTACAGCTTTGGCGAAGGACCAAACAAAGTGTCTCAAAAGCGTTTGGTTTCATCCACTTTTATACTTTGACTACTATGAGTAGAAAGTATGCGCCTTATCTTACATTCCTCGGCTCCGTCGTGCACAGATATTGTATTGCGCCCCCCTCTATCGCATGATACAAAAATATTGAGTTTTTTTTTTATTCACGATCATAATTCATCAGTGAAACTAAATATTCATTCGACCTCCAAATACCGGGTGTCCCAAGTTATCGTATTCAGGCAATAATATCTTGCTTATTTGTCGAGATATTGAAAAAATCAAAAAACTGCATTGAATGGCATTAGATAACCTTCCTAATGACTTATCAAGAATGTGATATATTTGGCAGCCCCCTGATGGTAGCTCCTACTCAGTTCTTATTTTCAAATGGCATATTGTCATTGAAAATTGCGTGTCAATCTTTTTGGATTTCAACGATATAGCACATACTTGGTGTTTTGTTTATTGATAACAACAGAAAAATCAACATTTTGTGACTTCCAAAAAGTTCACATTTCAGAAGTATGTATTAAATTTTGTCATAAGGAAATTACTTTACTGTCGTTCAAAGCAATATTCCAACTTTACTATTTTTTAACCATCTTGTCAAACAGGCGAGTTTTTGCCTGTACCTATACAATAACTTATTGGGATACCCGGTATTAACATGAAATAGGAAAACAAAAATTGCGATATCTAATCACATCAAGCCACTCTAAATATGTATGTGTAATCCATAATAATAATTGTATACTAGATACTTCATTTTCTTACAGTCTCAGAGAATCTGTTCAACAGGTCATATTATCTCCCCGCCATCATGAAACGTTGTTTCAAATTTGGCACTAAACTAATGATGATTATCTACTCTAACGAAATAGACTAAACATTTTAATTCAGGTGGGATCGAGAATCAAATATCTACTTCAAATTCGTGGGTTATATCGGACGAAAATTTTTTTAATGAATACCCGGCCAACTTCTGAAAGATTTTTTCAAGTGAAAATGTTTACTTGATCAATTGCCCATTCTTGGTGGATCAACCTGTATATATAAATGTTCGATTAAATATCGACTTTTACACAACATATTGATGGTAATTCCAACATGCAGTTGTCGTTTTCTAGATTGATTGAATGAGTTTATTCTCAGTTTGACTATGATAAAACTTGAATGTGTTAATTTCGAATTTGGATTTTTTTCACCAAAATCGAAAATTCTCACTCTCAATTCGATTTGTTCATTCTCATTTTGAATTCGTTGATGGATTTGTATGTGATGAATTCCAATTTGAAATTGATGAGGTGAATGGATATTAACAAACAACTTGATGAAAAAAATCGATTCGATACGTGCCACATTATGATCATCATGCTTTACGTATGCTAGACATCGAAGTTTTTCAATCGATCATTTTCAATATACCTGAAATATTTTCAGTCCACCAGCTATACAGGGTGTGCCAAAAGTCAAACCCAATTTTCTTATCTTGAATAGAAACCAATAAATTTTTTCGCATAATCCTATTGGCCTTCTAAATCGACGTATCAACTTATCTCTCACATTTTTCGATACAATGATATGTCGATTTTTCTGAAAATGATTTTCGATGTGTAGTAGTTCGAAATTAGAGGACTTAATTTTTGAAGGAGTAAGCTCGAAGTCCAAGCTAACTCCTGAGTCCTGATGTTCCATGGATGATCCTATTTCATAACATATGGACGCAGATGATTTTCAAATATCGCATTGGAAATTGGAAAACCATGAATAATGCTAGTCTAAGTTTTTATGTTTCATGTTCGAACCTGATGGATAATTCAATAGCATTGTTGATAGCCACCGGCTGATGTTGGTGGAGGCCTAGACAAAATCATAATATTATACTTATTGATTTGATATAATTTTATTGAAAGTAACATACCTATGTAGGTTTATTTCATTTACGAAGCTATTCATGTTATATAATCAACTAATAGGTATTACATTTCCTTACAGATTAAAGATAGACTACATTTTGTCGGAACCAAACGATGACTGGACAGGCTTGAGTGGCCACGTGAACGAAGGAATGATACAAAATTCTATCACTGACCACATTAAAGACACCGGATATACGATGAGAGACGTGTTCACCTTTATCTGTGGACCAAAAAACTTCGTAACTCTTTCACTGGAGGAACTGGAGAAATTAAACTTTTCTGATGATCAGTTGTTCGCTTTCCAGGGTTAGCCGCACATCTCCCTAAACTAGCATTATTCCTCGCAGCTGGTAGGAAATGTGAATTGCAAAGGTTCTCAATTGATCTTCGATTTTATTTTTCAGGGAGAAATGGAATGATACAAATATTGAAGCCACTAATGAACTTTGAAAACTATCACCAATTAGGAAATATTTTATAATCGAGTTATAGAGATTCAATACGATCACTGAAGTTAGTATAGCAGATAAATTAATACATATCTGATTATTCTTTTGGTTGGTTATTGATTATTCTCTTCGCATTCAAACTGGAATATTTTGGAAATATTCACACTGGATTATCCTGCCGAAATATTCTTTGTTATTTTGGATTCCTCGGATGTTCTAGAGGCATTAATATATTTTACAAATATACAATATATAATTGGAATATTCCCTTTTCAAATTTATATTATTATTACACCTTATTGTTTCAATAGTTTGAATACATGCACATCAGAGGTCACTATAGTGAAATATAACAATCATTATTCACTAAAAATAAATGATCAGAGTTTAAATACATGTTAGCCCCTTGCAACTGATTCTGACTCCGCCTGGGTAAAGGAGTACTTCATATACTTCGAGGAAATATAGTGTGCACAACGATGAAGTCGATGTTTCTTCATTTGCCTTTTGTACTCGTTATATACCCTTCAGAGTCGTCTTATCCGGTCACTGCAATCGAATGTGCTTCATCAGTATGCTTGTCGGATGCTACACTGCAGAGTAACAGTGTGAACATAGTCAAAGTCCAAGTTGCATGTTCTGCAAGTTGTGCGCGATAAACATGCTTGGAAGTCGTCTTATATGGTCATTGCGAAATTGTCTGCTTCAATAATATCCGTGTGGGTTGATAGGATAGAGAGATGTAATGTCCTGTCTTCAATTATATCGTAGTTCGAGTTATCGAAACATGTTCAGGAGTGCAGGGAAGAACAGCAGAAGATAGTTCACTTTTTACTGGTTTATTACAGAATAGTTATTAGTTCTTTCAGAGTTCAAACCGGAATGTTCTCTGTAACTACAATACCTAATTGATAACCTACCTATTACTATAAACAATGAATTGATGAATAATCTAACTATCGTAACACTTTCGGAAAAGCTGTGTTGGACTGTTTCGAAATGGTACCTGATTTCAATGGTGTGCACAACGATGAAGTCGATGTTTCCTCATTTGCCTATTGTACTATATCACAGTGTTGATATGGTGGAATTCCTTGTTCTGCAAGCTGTGTTCATTATATCTGCATAGGAGTCGTCTCTTATGGTCATTGCGACCGTGTCTGCTTCAACTGTTTACATGTCGGATGTCGTCTCATATGGTCATTGCGAACTAATCTGCTTCGATAGTATCCATGTGGGATGATTGAATACAGAGATAGAGTGTGCACAACGATGAAGTCGATGTATCTTTATGAGCCCATAATACTCGTTATATACCACTCAAAGTCGTCTTATATTGTCACTGCGATCGTATCTGCTCCAACTGTGTGCATGTCAAATGCTAGGCTGCCGAGTTTCTGTCTAAACATAGTCGAAGTCGAAGTTTCTTGTTCAGCGAGCTGTGGGCATTATACGAGCTTGGAAGTTGTCTCATATGGTCATTGCTTCAATAGTATTCATGTGAGATGATATGATAGAGATAAATGGTGTGCACAACGATGTGGTCGATTTATCCATATTTGTCTGTTGTACTTGCAATATACCGTCCGAAGTCGTCTTATATGGTCATTGCGATCGTATCTACTCTTACTGTATACATTTCAGATGCTTGACTGCAGAGTTACAGTGTGAACATAGTCGAAGTCAAAGTTCTTTGTTCTGCAAGTTGTGTGCGTTATACCCTATTGAGAAACGTCTTGCATTGCGGAATGCTCTGCTTCAATAGTGTCCATGTGAAATTATAAGATAGAGAGATATAGTGTGCACAACGATGAAGTCGATGTATCGCCATTTGCCTGTTGTACTCCCTATATACCCTTCGAAAGCGTCTAATATGGTTACTGCGATCGTATCTGCTTCAACTGTATATATGTCAGATGCTAGACTGCAGAGTTACAGTGTAAACATAGTAGGAGTCGAAGTTCCTTGTTCTGCAAGCTGTGTGCGTTATACACGCTTGAAAGTCGTCCTATATGGTCATTGCCAATGTGCCTGCTTCAATAGTGTCCGTGTGAGATGATAAGATAAAGGGACATAGTGTGAACGACGATAAAGTCGATGTATGCATGTTGTACTCGCTATATACCCTTCAGAGTCGTCTTATATGGTAACTGCGATCATATATAACCCATACTAACTGTATACATGTCAGATGCAAGACTGCAGAGTTACAGTTGTCTGCTCCAATAGTGTCCATGTAAGATGATAGGAGAGAGAGATGAAGTGTGCAGAACGATTAATTCGATTTATCTTCATTCACCTATTGTACTCGTTATTTAGCCTTCAGAGTCGTCTGCTTCAACTGTATGCTTGTCAGAAGCTAGACTGCAGAGTAACAGTGTGAATATAGTCGAAGTCGGAGTTTAGGGTCCTGCAATTTGTGTGCGTTATATCTTATTGGTCATTGCGAACTTGTCTGCTTCGATAGTATCCATATGAGATGATAAGATCGAGGGACATAGTGTGCACGACGATAAAGTCGATGTATCTTCATTCGCCTATTGTACTCGCTATATACCCTCCAAAGTCGTCTCATATAGTCACTGCGATCATATATGCCCCCAACTGTATACATGTAAGAGTGCAGATAAACAGTTGTCAGCTCAAATAGTGTCCATGTAAGATAATAGGAAAGAGAGATGAAGTGTGCACAACGATGAAGTCGATTTATCTTCATTCGCCTAATGTACTCGTTATATACCCTTCAGAGTCGTCTGCTTCAACTGTATGCTTGTCAGAAGCTAGACTGCAGAGTAACAGTGTGAACATAGTCGAAGTCGAAGTTTCGGGTTCTGCAAGTTGTGTGCGTTATACCTGCTCAGGAGTTATATGGTCATTGTGAAGTTGTCTGCTTCGATAGTATCCGTATGAGATGATAGGATAGAGAGATATGGTGTTCACAACGATGAAGTCGATGTATTTCCATTCGCCCGTTGTACTCACTATATACCCTATTACTATTCAATTTCAAAAACAATAAAATCATTCTTGTGCTGGAGTTATCGATGAAACAAAGAATCATAAGTAGAAAATCAAGAGATATTTGACTAGAAACATGAAATATTGAATCAGTTAGAGTAAGTGTTCAAAATGTCCTACGTTTCGACGAATTCACGATTCTATATTCTTTTCTTAAGAATTTATTATTCTTCTAAACAGTTGAGAATCAGCTGCTAGGCCATTTAAGTGATGTTCAATTATGTCTCACAACTCTTGACGTGAATTTACCTATGTAGCATAGACTTTCTACTCAAGATACAACAAAACTATGTTATCCATGTTCTTATTCAAATCTGTTTCGATGTAATTCTTGTGATTCATTTTTAAATCAATAAGTTTAGCATCAGAAATGTATTTTTGTTTTCGGTTTTCAATAAATAGCTGATAATTTTTCATAATACTCACTCTATTACATAGCTTTATACCAGCAACAGCATCACTTCATCATTTTCAAATCTAAATATTCCGATAACGGAATACAGTATCAAATTTTACCAAGAGTACCTTTTTGGTGTGAAATTTAATGATGTTCAAGTTCACATCGAATTTGAATTGAAAAATCTAACCTCAAAAAAGTTATATTCAAAACTATTCGGTACGAACCGTGTAACTAGCGCCCTCTATAAGAGTCAGATATAAAAACAAATGCATGCGATGTGTCAGATTCCAAGAAACATCCATACAAAATCTCATCACAATGTTGTCAGTAGTTTCGACATAATCTTGAAAAATGTGTAAAAAAAACATTTTTTCAACACCTTGTATCTTGATAACGGATGCCGTAACGAAATTTTTTTACTGAGTGAACCCAACTTATTATGCAGTGTTCTACCTACCCTAGTAAGGGAGGTCAGGTTTTTATGAAACACCCTGTATAGTGTTCAAAACGATGAAGTCGATTCATCTCCATTTGCCTGTTGAATTCACAAAATCCTTCAAAGTCGTCTCATATGGTCACTGCGACCGTGTCTACTTCAACTGTATGCATGTCAGATGCTAGACTGCAGAGTTAAAGTGTAAACATAGGTTTCTTGTTCTGTAAGTTATGTGCGTTATACTAGCATGGAAGTCGTCTTATATGGTCATTGCGACCTAGTCTGCATCAATAGTAACCATAAGAGATGATAGGATAGAGATATATATAGTGTTCACAAAGATGAAGTCGATTTATTTCCATTTGCCTGTTGTCCTCGCTATATACCCTCCAAAGTCGTGTCATATGATCACTGCGATCTTAACTGCTTCAACTGTATACATGTCAGATGCTATACTGCAGAGTTACATTGTAAACATAGTCGAAGTCGGAGTTTCTTGTTCTTCAAGTTGTGTGCGCTATACCCGCTTGAAAATTGTCTCATATAGGCATTGCGAACTCGTCTGCTCCGCTAGTATCCATGAGAGATGATAGGATAGAGAGATACATTGTGCACAACGATGAAGTCGCTGTATCTCTATTTGCCTGTTGTACACCCTATATACACTTCAGAGTCGTCTCATATGATTACTGCGATCGAATCTGTCGTGTTATATGATCACTGCGATCGTAACTGCTTCAACATGTCAGATGCTAGACTGCAGAGTTACAGTGTAAACATAGTCGAAGTCGAAGTTTCTTGTTCTTCAAGTTGTGTGCGCTATACCCGCTTGAAAATCGTCTCATGTGGGCATTGCGAACTCGTCTGCTCCAATAGTATCCATGTGAGATGATAGGATAGAGGGATACAGTGTGCACAACGATGAAGTCGCTGTATCTCTATTTGCCTGTTGTACTCCCTATATACCCTTCAGAATCGTCTTATATGATTTCTGCATCGAATCTGCGTCAACTGTATACATGTCAGATGCTAGTTACAGTGTAAACATATTTCACGAAACGAAGTTTCCTGTTCTGCAAGCTGTGTGTGTTATACCCGGTTCAAATTGGTCTAACCCATTAAAGCCCATAATTCTTCAGTTGAGATTTTTAGGTGGAAATTGAGATGATGAACCCTTACTCCATCAAATATGAAATTTTGTTATGGAAATAATGATCAGACATGCTGGACAGCGGTTTCGGAGTGGCAACTTCAGTTGCCACTGGGATGATTCATATATATACAGTATGATGCAAAAGTATGGAATAAATTCATTATTTCAGAAATGGGCGACATTTGAAAAAATTCCAAAAACACGTGAGTTTTAATTTCTGAAGCCTCATCTCATGATATTCATATGAGAGAT